AGGTGGGACAGAAAGTGACTTCTATACTTTTAAAATTTGCCCAAAATTTAGGAGGTCTTTAGACCAAGCCAACTATACTATGGCGGATTTTTTAATGTTACACATATATATCATCAAAACATTATCCCTTAAAATGTAGCACAAATTTTGTGTAAGCGTGATGAAATTAAAGACAAAAGTCACTCATTATCTAATCCAATAAATATTTATATATATTATTTTTGCACATTATTATAATTCACATGATGTAATTTTATTTACATAATAATAATTTATTTTTATTTTAATAGGAATAATTTGCATTTTTTAATAATAGCAAACTTTTTGAATTATTTTAAAAAAATTAAAAGAAATTTTCACAACTTATAAAATTTTTTATAGAATACAGTGACCTCATTAAAACTTACGGCGTTATTATTCTTCAAAACTAGGAGTTTAAATTAAAATCATTTTGAATATTTTTTTGTTAGTAGACTTTCAAGCTTTTGCAATTTTTACATAAATTTTTTTTTCGCATTTCTTATTTTAGATAATCCATACAATTTAGTCTTTATTTGAATAAATATTTTCCTTTTCATAATAAATTTTGAAGCAATTTCTATTACTATTACAACATAATGGAACATTACATGATGTACACCAAAAATTAGATAATGGAGGTCTTTGCTCAGTTTTCAATAATAAGTACCTGCACAACATACATGAAAATCTTTTTTCTTTCCATTCTACAAAATGATTATCAGTAGTTAATCTATCATTAGGAAGTTGAGAATTAGAACCCATTTTAATATTTTGATAATTAATTATTAATAACAATGCAAAAAAAAAAAAATTTTATTGTAGCTTTAAAAAAAAAATTTTTGACGTTAATATAAAATGATCGGCATTAGAAGAAAATTTTGTTCATTCACTTTGTGCAATTATTTTATGCGATAATCATTGTATGATGTTCGATTTTTTTTATTATGATAGTGGCGTGATCTCAAAAATCATTTTTCACTTAGAAATAAATTTGCAACATATTTGTTGCAAATACAATTCAAGGGATAATAAATAATCAAAGATTTATTTAAACTTTAAAACGTAAAGGCTCGATAACCAAGCAAGCTGTTGGAATAATCCTTCCGTGATTGTATTTGCAGATGCTCAATTAAGGGCCTGTCAGAGAGTTTTTTTCATTTATATTAGTAAAAAAAAATTTTGCAAAGGTTCAAAGTTATCAATTTTGTTTTATTGATTTTACTATAAACAATGGAAATTTATTTAAACTTTAAAACGTAAAGGCTCGATAACCAAGCAAGCTGTTGGAATAATCTTTCCGCGATTGTATTTACAGATGCTCAATTAAGAGCCTGTCAGAGAGTTTTTTTCATTTTTACTAGTAAAAATTTTTTTTGTAAAGGTTCAAAGTTATCAATTTTATTGATTTTACTATAAACAATGGAAATTTATTTAAACTTTAAAAC